AACTTCTCCCAATAGCGAACGTTCTGGCGGATGGTCCTGAAACCACCTGCTTCGAACGACATGGCCTTGAGCCTCGCTGCCTCAGCTGGCATGAGCCCTTGGCATCTAGCCGGATCGTTCAAAGCGGCGTTCTGACCTGCCCGCTCGCAGATCTTCTGCAGCCTCATCCCCCACCTTCTCCTCTCGGCGACCTCCACGGCTTGCAGCGACGAGATCACCTCTGTCGAGCCGCTGCCGCTGGGTTTAGTACCAAGAGCTGGAGACGGGGCTGCGATCGGAGAGTCATCCAGTCTCCGCTTGCTTGCGACCCTAGGCGGCTCAGCAGAGCCAAACCCCAGATCTACAGCGATCTCCCGCTGGATCCTTTCAGCAGAACTTGCTACCATGGATGCCAAAACGTTGACCATGTCTAGCCTGCTTAGGATCCGATCCATCACTTCTGGTTTAGAAGTCAGTGCAGTGATCACGTTAGACAGCTTCTGATCAGCGGACCCATCGCTATCATCAGCAAGGGTGAGCCAGATCTCAATCCTATCTAAACCTAGATCACTAAGAACCGACCTAAAAACATCGTCAAAAATCGGGAGACACAGAAACCTATGAATCAAACGATCCATCTTGAGCAACAGCTGAGGCCCCCGGTGGTTGACGATCGCCACACGGTAAGCTGCATGCTGCCCTAAGTCTCGAAAGCTAGTAATTTTACTAATTTAGTAATTTTACTAATCCAGAAGATTTTACGTAATTTTTTTGTTGATTTTTGCAAAATTAGTAAAATGTAAAAAAAAGGAAAAGTGCATCAAAAGTGCATCAAAAGTGCATCAAAAGTGCATCAAGAATGTGCCAAGAGATGTGTGATAGTTTTTCGAATTTCCTTGAATTTGATACAGGAGGCAGAAGGAATGTCCAAATATTGTTGAGGAATGTGCAGAAATTAGCATGTGGAACCTGTAAAAGGATATGTCCTTTGCTGCAAAATGTTAATACTATGAAAGAAAAATGAAATTTCTCCCAGTGACTGCTCAAGTAAAAGTAAATGTTCTGAAGTAAAATCATCTTCCTATAGCAAGCGATTTCTGAAGAAAAAGATGTTATGAAATAAAGTCAATGTAATACATGTTGAAGGTATGTACTTGACATTGATTTGGCTCGTTGGCTTTTGCGGTTTCTTGGCTTTTGTAGTTTTTTACTTCTGAATTTATATGCATTTTTTTTGTGAGAGGAATTGACATATGTTTTCAAAAAGTGTCCCAACTAGCCCTTTTTTGAGCTCTGAAAACAGTATTTCAGGACACTTGTTGAAATCTATTCTCCCACTATATCTACTTGATTTGTGCTTCACCACGTTTTCCATGACTGTCACGGTTCTGCGCCTCAACCTACGTTCCATATATATGGTCACAAGATGCATGTTGCCCAGTATAGACACCCAAATATATATATATATATAGATACATGTTTACTTGAGTTTACTTGAGACTGCATGCAGTGAACTTTACTTGAGTTTACTTGAGACTGCATCCAGAGAGCTTTCCTTGAGTTTACTTGAGCCTGCATCCAATGAACTTTACGTGGGACTGCATTCATTGAACTTTACTTGGGACTGCATCCAATGAACTTTACTTGGGACAGCATCCAGTGAACTTTACTTGAGCCTGCCCCCAATGAACTTAACTTGGGACTGCATTCATTGAACTTTACTTGGGACTGCATCCAATGAACTTTAATTGATTTTACTTGAGACAGCATCCAATGAACTTTACTTGAGTTTACTTGAGCCTGCATCCAGTGAACTTTACTTGGGACTGCATTCATTGAACTTTACTTGGGACTCCATTCATTGAACTTTACTTGGGACAGCATCCAGTGAACTTTACTTGGGCCTACCCCCATTGAACTTAACTTGGGACTGCATTCATTGATTTTTTACTTGGGACTGCATCCAATGAACTTTATTTGGTTTTTCTTGAGACAGCATCCAATGAACTTTACTTGGGTTTACTTGAGCCTGCCCCCAATGAACTTTACTTGGGACTGCATTCATTGAACTTTACATGGGACTGCATCCAATGAACTTTATTTGGTTTTACTTGAGACAGCATCCAATGAACTTTACTTGATTTTACTTGAGGCTGCATCCAATGAACTTTACTTGAGTTTACTTGAGACTGCATCCTCTTTGTTTACTCGAATTTACTTGAGACAGCGCCCAGAGAACTTTACTTGGGTTTACTTGAGACTGCATCCAGTCAACTGTGATTGAGTTTACTTGAGCCTGCATCCAGTGAACTTTACTTGAGGTGACTGGAGACTGCGTCCAGTGAACTTTGCCCAGGTTTGCCTCCAGTGAACTGACTTGGCACTTGCTGCATACATTTTTCAAGATTTTTTTGGATTTTGTTTCCATTTCCTAAGAAAACATTCAAAATTGATGATGCACTTTTGGTGCACTTTTGATGCACTTTTGATGCACTTTTCAAAAGTGCATCAAAAGTGCATCAAAAACAAGGAAAAGTGCATCAAAAGTGCATCACTTTTAAAAGTGCATCAAAAGTGCATCAAAAATGCAGCAAAAATGCATCAAAAGTGCACCAAAAGTGCATCAAAAGTGCATCAAAAGTGCATCAAAAGTGCATCAAAAGTGCATCAAAAGTGCAAAAGTGCACCAAAAGTGTATCACTTTTAAAAGTGCATCAAAAGTGCATCAAAAAGTGCATCAAAAGTGCACCAAAAGTGCATCAAAAGTGCATCAAAAGTGCATCAAAAGTGCATCAAAAGTGCATCAAAAGTGCACCAAAAGTGCATCATGTTTTTGACCATGTTCAAGCATTTTTCTGAAAAAGCATCTTTAGACAGATGAAAAAAATAAAATTCCCCTGTGGAATTGAAAGTGGAGTAAGGGTCTCACTAAGACTTCTTGGCTGCATCCTTTCAAGCCAGCCAAAGGTTTACAAAGATTTCATCCAGACCTTCTCCAAATTTTTTTGATGAGAAAAAAAATGCCACAAGAGTCTATGAGTTTCCTTTTAAGTTGAGTCTTGAAACAGGCAAGTCTTCAGACCCCATGGGCAAATTTTTATGTAATTTGATCAAGGTTTGTAGCAAGCATACCTGAGTTAAGAAGGTTGGGTCTCACTAAGACTTCTTGGCTGTATCCTTTCAAGCCAGCCAAAGGTTTACAAGGATTTCATCCAGACCTTCTCCAATTTTTTTGATGAGACAAAAAAGTACCGCTAGAATCTATGAGTTTCCTTTCAAATTGAGTCTTGAAACAGGCATGTCTTCAGTTCCCATGGACATTTTTTTTATCTTTGAGATTTCACCAAGTTTCATTTACCAAAGAAAATATCTAGATTTTTTTTTGCAAATGTAAATGCTTTGCAATGACTTCTTAAAGTCAAGATCCAATGTAAATTCTTTTTGTGGCTTCATCTATACTTATGTAAATCCAGTCTGTATGTTCATATGCTTCTTTTGCACCAGGTAGGTCCCAAAGTAAATTCCATACATATATATATATTCTAATTCACCTATCCTGAAAGAATTTTCTTCTGTTCTTGAGATGAGTTTTGCAAGCCACTGCAGTGCACCAATGGATTTCATGCATTGTCTTGGTATTTGATTTCAGGATTACTGTAAACCTTTTGGTACAGTCACAAGCAATATAATATATATAGATAGATAGATAGATAGATAGATAGAAACATGATTTCACACAAAAAACCCAAATAAAATCTCAAGTATAGTCTCGCGCAAGTATCAAAGCCACCTCAAATAAAGTCTCAAGTAGTCTCCAGTGCAATCTCAAGTAAAGTAACTCTTAAACACTCTACTACAGAAACAGCAACATATCGATTGAAATCCTCCAGCGGAAAGACCCCATTCATAGCCAAATCATCACAATCCACAACCACACACATCCAAAAAAGAACAAAATCCATCGAAAAAAATGCAAAACAAACATATTTTTCATCATGCATTAAAACATGCAAAATTTTACTAACGTTAGTAAAATCATTTACTAACATTAGAAAAATTTTACTAACGTTAGTAAATTTTACTAACGTTAGTAAATTTTTACGTAAAATAACGTTAGTAAAACAGTCGATTTTACGTAAAATTCAGGGCGAGTAAAATTACTAACTTTCGAGACTTAGGGTGAGGATCTCACCTGCAGTGCCAAGCCGGCTGGGAGGGATCTTCCCGCTGGCTGACCCGCTGGTGTATGATCTATAACACTGCTACACGTGTTGATCAACACTATGCCGCAGGTTGGGATCACCAAACCATCAGAAGCTCCCCTGATCTAAGGGAGCAAAACCGTGTTGGGATCCCAAACAGAACACCCACACCTTAAGATCGGAAATCAATTGGGAACGCCGTGACTTTGAAATGAAATGCAACGCCCCAGACCCCTAAGAAACCGATCGGTATGGGTGTGAACAAAAACACAGGACCTACCATCACCAGAACCGGAAAAAGGGTTAGATCAACCCTATCAACAACAAACCGGACCCTGGGAGGAAAGAGCCCTATGAGAAAAAGGTGTCCCAATCAGAAAGGTGAAATCAACCTTAAAACACAAGTGAACACAAGTGAGAAAAGGGATACCTATTAACCAGGGGGATACTGATATTGAACCAGGATCAACATGGGAGGCGGGATCGGCCTACACCTATTGACCCTGAGCAGTGTACCCCTGGTGGATGAAGATCAAATTAAATGACTTGAGCAAATCATAACAGTTTAAAAATGTTTCCATCATTCAAAATTGAAAATGAAATGAACCGCACTCAGCGCATCCCTCGAGTGAGATGATCCAACACTTCAGGGGCGTCCAACCGTGAGACTACGATCGTAGCCCTTCAGTCGTTTTTCAAATGCGGAGTCGGCAAAAATTAAATCCTTTGCCTGGTGGCATGGCGATCTGCCGCTGTGGCTGACCAGCCTATTGAAAAACCTCTAAAAACTGAGCCTGAGGCGATCAACCCTTGGGTGATCTATGCCTCATAAACACTCTGATCTCCTGCAGCCTTCTGGGATCCCAGCGGTGAAAACGACACTGGCGCCGACGTCGACGGCTGCTGGTGATCACCAGGGGCTTCCGCCGGGGTGCTCTGCGGGACCTTCTCCGGCTTCTTGGTCTCTGAGCTGGGCTGCACCATGCTCGGTTCCAGCTCTTCGATCGTGGCTGTGGTCTCGTTGTATGATCGCCGATGGAACTCTTCTGCAAACAGAGCTGGTGTCAACTGTGCAGTCGATCGCGCAAAACGCCTGTCGCGTCGAGCACGATCACGCTCCTCGTCAACCACATGACCACCTCGACCTTCACGATCATGCTGTGTGTCGAAAGACCGCTGGTTGAGCTCACGACCAGCCCTCTGCTGCACACTGATCAATGCCATCCCAGTCTGGTCATCGCCATCCTCTCTCGCCTGAGCTGCCGATCGCAACCACGCATCACCTGTGAGCGCTGGCGGCCCCAAGGGAGCAGTCACCCCTCCTGAATGCTGCATCTCGGCGAGCGCCTTCTTGGCAACGATCTGCAACTCCCTGACCATGAGCTTTGAACGTGTCTGCACATGGAAATTGCCATGATCAAGGCCCTCCACGAACTCGACGAAGCAGCCCACCTCGTTCTCATCCTGTGCCACTGAGCTCCTCCACCAGTTCTCATGGATGGCTGCGAGCTGTGCGAACTGCTCCGTCTGTTCAGGACCTTCGACCCTCGCCCGATTCTCGCGGACTGACTGGATAGTCCTGATCAGGGTGGGTCCTGAGATGTGCGACACGGTGAGCCACGTGCCTGGCACTGAAGTGCGAGAGCACTTGAGGTCAATCCTATTGTTTGCATCTCTGAACCTGAATTCGATGCGATCTGCATCGTTGCCCATCGCATCCTCTGAGGATCTCTGACATACTCTGAGCTCGAACCTCGATCGGGCTGAGTCACCTGCGACCACCGATCCTTTCGGTCCGACAGAATATGTCTGACCTCCACATTCATAGCTGAGCACTGAGACCCTCCAGCCCATGAACACGGCGACGACTACTGAGAGCCTTGGCTTCCCCTTGTTGACCTCACGGACCAGATATTCGTCCACAAACTGCTGCTGAACTGTCAAATCTGTGTCCGATCGGAAACCCCTCAAAATCCAGTGAAAAAGGATCTCATTGCCATTGTACACCTTGACATCGGCGTAACTGGCAGAGGTGTCACGGATCATCGGCCAGGTGAACGGCTGAAAGGCTGGGTGTGCGAGCGCACTTGCTGTCTCACCATCCCAGCCTGCACAGTCAGATCCAGTCTCGCTCTCGATCGAGATGGCCATGACCGCCTTGATGCCGTCCAAGGTGTAATTGGCGAACAAAGCCAGGTGGAAGCCTGAGCTGGGCGGCATGACCTGGTCCCGCTCTGTGAGCACATTGATTGAGCTCGCTGAGTTGGCCATGATCTCGCTCACCAGCCAGGCCTGAAAAGGCGAGACCATGCGCTCGTCGTGCCTGTTGTCCACCATGATGATCGACGTGCTCTCAGGACCTTTGTCACTGTCGGCGATCGCCTCTAAAAATCGAGGCATCCTGACCTCTATGGGTTGTGGGCCACATTGCCGGTCGCCCTGGAACCAGGGGCCGAGCTCCACTGGCCGCTTCCACTGTGTCGATCTTGGTTCCAAACAACACGAGGCATGATCGATCGACGTCGAGTGAAAACTACCCAGGCCCACAACAAAGATCAGGGAAAAAGGGGATCAGATCTTGACCCAAAATGGCAAAGATCATAAAATAAATAAACCCGATCGGGTAAGACTGATCCATGTCGTCCCTCCCTCGATCGAGGAATCTCCAAAATACTGAACATCACAAAACAAGATGGAAACGCAACTGGTGCCAAGAACTCCAAATTGACCCACTTATTCCTAGCCTACCAAACCGTTAATAAGTGAACATATATATACGTACATACAGCATATATCATCATCGTGTCGATTTGAAATGGACGGGCTGCAAGGCACCTCTCCTCCCACATGGCTAATCTCATAGCCTGCCGTGAAAATGAAAACATCATGAAACCACCGCAGAACAGGCGCAAATAAAGAATAAAAGAGGCAGCACTAGGTATAGAATAAATAGAACATACAAAGAACATACACAGAACATACAGAGTCTACAACTGTCTACAAAGACTGCAACTTTCCTGACTCAACTCCTCAAGACTGCATTGCTTCAAAAGCGAGTCTGGTGCTACGATGCGGCTGCACCATGAGATTCAGACCTGAATGAGATGCAAAGATTGAAAGGGTAATGGAATGGTAATGGGTAGCAACATTTGACATAACTTCGAGCCACGATCCAACAACGTCGACTTTCCATTTGGAGGTCCCCTGTTTCGAGAGAAAAGGCCCCACTGAATTGAACATTTCTTTGAGAAGCATACAGCATCTTCCATGTGGATTTCAAAAGTTTAACAGTTTAACGAGAATACTTCTATGATACGTCTGCTATCTGTAAAGGACGAACATCCTGGAATAACAAGAAACGACAACGACAGCTTCACAGAAGTGATTGGATTTTGACTTTGGATCCCCAGCCTCAGGTGTCAATCATGAGTTTGTGTCCATCAAGGCAGCGCCCGATAAGCAGCTCATTTCCAGCAGGGAACAGTCTGTAACTGCAGTAACAGTCTCAACAGTCTTCTCTTTCAGAACGTCCTTTCTTTCGTTCCGAGATGTTCTGAGGTTCTGCCAAGGTTTGGTCGAACCAAATACCTCAATGTTTGAAAAGGCTTTGCGCTTTCTTAATGTTAAACAGAAGACATGGAACCACAAGATCGTACCTGGCAGCAAACGACACAGTAATCACGATGTGAGATCATCCTTAACCATACATACTTGTCTAATCTTGTCTTTGTCTACCGGTAACTCCGGACGGCCCAGAGAACCCAAACAGCCGCGATTTGACAATTACTGTTTAGGAGCCATCACCGAGGTTGGTTGATGCGATCGGGGTTCATCAAAAGCCTGGAATGCTGCTTGCTTGCGAGGAAAAAGCCTCCACATACATAGCACTCTTGACACCTGTGGCTAAACTCATTCATACTCATTCACTTCCAGGGCATGGGCGTTCCAAATCAAATTCTGCATGACTTTCCATGTTCTTCCCTTAGTCTCCAATCCAAGCCACACTCTACAACGCTACGACATGAAAAAACGTGAAAAACACTGCATTTTCTCACCAGCATGCGTACCATCCTGCGTGGCACTTAAAACGGTGAAACTTGAAACATTTTGAAAAAATACCTCATCTTCGTAGAGGCCCCATCACCTCCAGACAATCGTCTCTATCAGAGAGTGCTATTCCTGGAATCCGGCAAGTGACGAAGGGCAAGAGACCTGGAGCAACTCGCTCAACATGTTAATTCTTGCAATTGCACTAATTAGGCTATACTGCAGATTGATGGCGAACTGCTTGCTGCTGCTGTTTGTTCATGGCTTTTCTTGCAACGTAGAATGCTGAGCAAATGCAAATCAGAAGAAGTGTTCCAAGCACTCCGTAGGCAACGTAGAATCCATAGGGTACCTCAGCCAACTTCTATGGATTTGATATCTGGCTACTTAAAAATCCAACGTTGCTTTTGAAACCCAGGATCACAGAGACATCCAGAGACTGAAGGTTGGATCTAAGTTGAGTCTAAGTTGACTTGTGAAAAATATCAATATCGATCAATATCGTATATATACACTGAATGTGAGTGCATTCCATAATCGTCTGAGGCTGGAAAACTTTTTGGGCAAGGCGCTGAAGGTACAGACTCGACATCTTGGATCGCAAAAAGCGGCAAGGATGCCTCAGTAGCTGCTGAAAGATACGAAGATAGATACGAAGTAAGTAAGATACGAAAAGATATGCAAAGATACGCAGACAATCCATGAGATACTAAGAGATACTAAGAGATAAGAGACTAAGAGCTGATCTTTTTTTGGCTTTTCAGTTGAGATTTGATGAGTTTTCCATCGTTTTCCTGACTCCGAAACGACATCCATCGACATCCATCCACATCCGGCCTCAAGCTCGGTCAACAGAGCGGCCAAGTTGGTCTCGTCATGGTTGCTTTTGAAGGTTGCCCATGCAGCCCCAATGCGGTTCCACTGACCAAGCAAGTCCTTCAGAATCTTCAGAATCTTCAGACCCAGCATGACAGCATGACCCAGATCTGTCCCTTGCTTCGCACTTCACAGATCTTCACAGATCTTCACAGTCTTAACCGTTTGCAAACTGCGACCCATTACTTCTTGATATTCTTTGGTGCTGCTTGGCACCAGCCCTGTTGCCAGTTGTGCCATGAATTCCAAGGCCATGTGTCCCATGCATCGTGTCTATGACAAGAAGAGAGGTAGAATAAATATTCGGAGACCAATTGGAATTGGCGGTGCTTAAGGCTGTCCAAGCTGATGGTGGGCTTGCACACTACCATCTTTGAGACATCAAAGTCAAGACTGAGTGCACGGTCTTCAACTCAATTTGCAAAAGTGTAACAGAAGTATCAACTATCCATCATCTAATCACTGAGTGAGCTATCGAATCTCTAATATCGGTTCTATGTGTTTCTGCATCAACAAAATTTGGAGCCGGACTCCTCTCGCTCACCGATGATAGCTGCAAAACCAGTACCACCATCCTGGGCAAAAATTGGTGGTCACTTGAGTCACTCGATTCGGACACGACATGACATGACACCACACATTACCGCAGGCCTCAGGTCAAGATGTAAAAAACTTCAGTCCAAACATACCGCAAGATGTAAAAGGGAAAAGGATGGACAAGGCATGAAAAGGCATGAAAAGGCTACCGCTCAGGGCTTAACAATTGCAGAAAGAGTCTTTCAGTTGCTGGTGCGCCGTCTCGAATTCCTGTTCAGCTAGTGAGAGCTGTCTTCCAACATCCTTGGACCAGGACCGTGAGCAAAGGATTTCCACAAGACAAGCTACTCAGTTCAAATGAGTGAATCGTAGAAAAATCAATGACGTTCAATGATTCTCATCATAGGTCATGTCATGATAGCATGATAGCATGACATGAGGAGAGACAAAATGGCAAAACTGAGAATTCGGCGTCTAGCAACGCACGAGAATCAGGAGTTCTTGGGGCAACATGGGCAACAGCAATTGAAATATAGTTGATTGCCATTGAAATTCATGATACTTGGTGCACCACGTGACACCAACTGGGATCCAAGTCTCAAAGCGTTCTGCCATAGCCTCCTTGTAGACTTTCTTGGCCAGAACCACTTGCCACATCGCAACTCGAAGTCGTTGGCCAGGCCATTCTGGTTCAAGCTCAAGTGCCTGCGCAGGGGGCGCATAATGCCACATATGCATAAATGCGAATGCAAATAAAGTCGCATAAAGTCGTGATCCAGAGCCGTTTGATCTGTTCATATCTTTTTCGGTTTGTCACATGTTTCCAGTTTGCTCTGCACATGACACATGTTTCGCATGTTTGTCTTTTGGCCTTCTCAGAGTACGATCGCAAGAGACCTTTGGCCTGAGCTACTATCGAAGTTCCCTGATCCTCCACCTTGGTGAGACATGGTGAGACGAGAACATACGAGAACGTTGATATTTCGGAATGTTCGGGGTTGCGAAGTTAAAACACTTCAAACTTTCTCATGATGTAAGAATTGCATTAAACATCATGAAACTATCCTAAGTCCAAGGGATTTCAAATCCACATATGTCACATCTGTGCATCTTCAACCCTCTCCACCTATCTCCAGCCGTCAAGGAACCATTTGATAAGTCGAGTCCGCTTCCAGGAAGGTTTCCACCAGGGGTTGCAACTGGTTGATGATTCGGTTGAAGAGTGCCTGACCACTTGAGCTGCAAATGTAACGAATAGGAAGCTAATCAAGATGAATCAAGTTGGAATCAAGAGAACAAATCCAAAGAGTGCCCCCTTTGACATCATTCAAAAGCCAGTTGAAAACAAAACAGTAGGACATAGTAGGACCAGTCGGAGTTCCATCTGAGATAACAAGAGCTGACACACTTAGGGCCCTAGGGCCCTAGGGCCCTAGATTCCTAGGGCCCATGATCTGTGACCTGCGTAGGCTGGACTGGCACGAAAGGATGTGGTGAACCCATGACGAGGCGGTCCATGGAATCTCTCAAGGCAGTCATTTCACCAGTGACGGTCTGCGAGATCAACGCGGTCAGGGCATCCTCAGCCAGACCTGCGACAGTGACCTCTCTTCGTATGATGTTTTTAAAGCACGAACGGTGCAACCTCATGGAACCAGACAAGTATGCAATTATGGAAGGAAGGCGTATTGCAGTGATGAGTGTGACTAGCTTGCAGCCATTTGCTCGCTTGGAGTCCAGCAATCCATTAATGACAAATCATATTAGATGAATTTAAATGATACTATTGATACTATTGATATTATTGATCTATTGATGCTATCATCTGATTTACAATATAATTTCCCTGATTCACTCCTATGGTCCATCCTAGCACCCTTGACCGCTTATCATGTTCGCATGACGTTCGCATGATGTTCGCATGTTACCATCGCCTGCCAGCATGGTGACCTCCAACATCAGCAGCTCCCAATCGCCTTTGGCCAAGCTGATGTTCTCGCAACTGGCTGTCTGTCCTGGCAAGAAACCAAGGCCATGGGCAAACCAAGGCTAATTATGGCCAAGTGGAAGCTGAATCTTCATTTCGAAAAGAACATGATAGTTCGATATGTTTTTGTTCATTTATTCATTGAATCGTATTCAATCATATTCAATCTTTCTCTTGAACAGGCTTTGCACTCCCGGTGTCCTTGATAGAAATGGTAGATGTCATTAGAAGATGATGCCATTGCAGCAATGCCTGCAGGACTGACTTGATTCACGGTGCTAACGGCATCTGATTGGTTTCTCATGATCTGGAAACACGCTCGCTCCAACTGGTAGTACTTGTTCATCACTTCTGCCAAACCACCTCAAACTGAAGCAGCGTCTCCAACTGAATTTCTTCAGACTTCTGACTTCAAGGGCTGATTCACACTCTGTTACATGACTATACCTAAAAGCCGATAGGCATATTAAATTATTAAATTAAATGACACCTCAATAATCCAAAGCTTTCTGTTGCGTTTCAAGCCACGGACGATGCACAGATCTGTGATACTCTGCAAGGCCATTCGTTCATCTGTCGCTGGAGCTCCCATAATCAGCTCCCGGTGAAGTGAACGGAAGGCCTGCGCCGTGGTATTCAACTCCTGCGTTGACCAGAAACACGGAGAGCATTTCATCGGGTGACTGGCAGGGGCCGTAATGTTCAGGTCTGACTCACGCCCCGACTAATTAGTGACTAACGGGACTAACTCTTAACTGCACCGATTGCATCTCAGCTCAACCAATTGATGCAATATGCTGTATTGCTAAGCCAGATCTCCTCGGCTGTTATTGCTCCAAACAGGACCTTGTACGCCTGGATGGGCAAGTTGTGAAACTGAAACTGTTGCCTCGTCGAGCGGGAGATTTCCACAGTCTGATCTGTGGGTCCCTACAGAGTAAGACTAAAAGTTTCAAAATGTTTCAATTGCCTTTAAGTACCTGGAAAGTGGGGAACTAGCCGTGTGATACTTTGAAATATTGCTCAGGGTCAAAGCTGCAACATCTTGGAAAAAATAAGCCCAAAGAATATCCCCAACAGCAAGAAAGCAGCGGCCGTAGATCCCAAACAGTAATTCCATATAAGCGTGGTAGTTTTTGTTTCATGACCAAGCGATGCAGTGCATTTTTGCGCCGTCCTGCCCGCCGGCCCCCCGTACTACTACTATT